AGCCCCCCCCCCCCTCCTCTCTCTCTCTCTCTCTCTCTCTCTCTCTCTCTCTCTCTCTCTCTCTCTCTCTCACACTGATATAAGAGAGGTGCACAGACCAATCAATCATATATGCCGTATTCTTGAATTTGAAATGAAAAGAGAAGTAATGCTTCTTATCACCGGACACAGAATAAGACCACTTAGATCAAAATAATATTCATAGAAATGTTCTAACATAAAGTAGAATTGAATGTTAAAGAGATTAGCCAACAACAGTCAAAAGATGGACACCTAATTCCAATACAATAAGGGTCTGTACAAGTCACATGAACACCTTGATTTGTGAAGATTTATACCTGTACTTAATAGGCGCAAGTTAACCCAATAAATATAATATGTTTCCTCCTTGTCTTTGATGTAGGCATTTCCAATGGGTTCTCCCCTCGTACCTGAGGTTTCAAGAGCAATCTTGAACGTGACAGAGGGAGATAAAATGACAAGATTTACGCAAAAATGGTTAGGGGATGAGGCTGACTGTCCGGAGCAAGATGGAGCAGTTGTCACCACGGATAGCATGAAACTACAAAGTTTTACGGGCCTTTTCCTCGTCGCCGGGATATCATCATCTTTAGCTCTCATTATTTTCTTATTGATATTTCTACACGAGAACAGGGACGTATTAGCTTCCCATGATTCTGTCTGGCAAAAGCTCGTTGCAATGGCGAAAATTTTTGGTGAGGAAAAAGAGAACTCTCGTAATGTTTCCAAAAAGATGACCACTGAACCAAATGATCACGACCTGGCCACAACAGCTAATTCTGTTCCAGAAGATATTATAGCTGCTGGCTCTCCACAAAGTCCAGCCATCAGCATTTCCCACCACGGGGACGGGGACGACATTTTCTCTCAGGACGAAGGGTTCTCTACAACAGAACCGGGAACTCCGATCCATGACTCCATAGCCATTACAGAAACTATTAGAGAAAGATGATGATCACTCTTTCAAAACATGTTCATTTCCGTTCATTTTTTATTTTTTTTAATTTACAGGAAGAAATTCAAGCTCACTTCAATACAGGTATTTATGCTTTGCAAAGTTCGCTTTTGTAACAATCACACAAATGAAAATATATTCATTACAACGGTAATACTACGTTAAGGTGGGTGTAACAACATCCTCTTTCTTAGCAAAACATAACCTGGCTTCATGACATACCCTCAGGGATCTGGGAAGGACAAGCATATGACTCAACCCTTGTTGTGGGGCAAACAAATGGCCATTATATGATAGATTTGGATCTCGACATTCCAAATTTCTTCAACTTTGTCACCTAGAAAATGGTTTTGACCATTGATTTAACAAAATAGAACTTTCTATTTTTGATCCACTTTAACTTTATACTCAACATTAGTCTAATCATTGAATACCATAATGGGTGATTAGATCATGGAAAACTACAGAGATTAGAAATTTTGAAATTGACACGACCCAAGGATATCTCCATGAATCTAGAAGCGTTTATTTTGAAGAAAAGAAATTAAAGAAATCATCGAATCATTGATTTATTAGGATATGATGGCAGGATATAAGGGATTTATCACTATCTACCTGGTTGGGATTATAATATGATGATAGGATTTAAGAAATTTATCGCTATCTATAGAATAAGTGTAGCTGATGATAAACTTGTGATATTTTATCTTTATTATATAATTCTTACCCTATAAATAGGATTGACCTTCATGTAATCAAGTACTACTGAATAAACATTGAAGTAGTCTTTGGGGTGTTCTTATTGTCATTATTTCCTTGGCATTGAGGTCCTAGCCAAGCGAAGTATGCACATGACAAGATGCATAATTGCAAGTCTATTTCTACTCACATGGTTGACAAGGATCGAAAAATTGCTTTTGATGATGATCCTTTTCCAGACCCAACAAAAATATAGGAGTATCGTTGAGCCCTTCAATAACGAACATTTACAAGACTAGACATTTCATATAGTGACGATTTTGTGCAACAATTTATGCATGCTCCTACTATGGGTCACTACCGGATTGAGAAGCGCATACTTCGCTATATCAGTGGTACGGTGGATCTCAGCAATGACAATCTCTTGCCATAGTTCCTTTGAACTTTATGCCTTTGCCGATGCAAATTGGGGTGGTTGCCCAATCACACACCACTCAACAACTAGTTTTTGTACCTTCCTTGGTGGTAAATGCATTTTATGGCGTTCAAAGAAGCAAAGTTCAGTCGCTCTAAATATCGTGCTCTTTCTTCCGTCACATCTGAGTTAACATGGCTTTCATTTACCTTACATGACATAGGAGTTCCGTTGTACAAGCTTCCTATTCTTTTTTGTGATTATTTGAGCGCAGTCTACTTGATTCGCAACTCTGTCTTTCATGGTCGAAATAAGCATACTGCATTACATTTCCATTATGTCCATGAGAAGATTGCTCTGGGATCATTACTCACCCAGTTTGTTCTCTCGGGTTCACTCGGTTTGTTCTCTCAGGTTCATCAGCTAGCTGACATCCTTACTAAGCCCCCTTCAAGGACACTATTTTATGATCTATGCATCAAATTGGGTCTGTGTCCTCAACCCAATTTGAGGAGGAGTGACTACGTAGATAATCCTGATGATATTAGGACAAACTAAAGTAAGTTGTTTTACAAGAATTATCTACATTATCGCCCCCTCAAATTGTTTAAATTGTTTTACAAGTGATATTTTATCTTTATTATGTAATTTTCACTCTAGAAATAAGATTGAATCTCATGTGATCAAGTATTACTGAATAAACATCGATGTAGCCCTTGGGACATTTAATCCGTGGACATAAACATTGCGTAATTGTGTTAAACCATATATATCTCGGTATTCTTATTTTCATATCCTAATTTAACCATATAAATAGTAATAAATCTCTTAGATATATCTTATCATCATATTCTAATATGTTTTACTTGCAAAACCATATTAGATTCATTGACATCACCAATGTTGCTTCTATTGACCTTTTTTGGTCTTTGATGAATAACGTTTGGCATGTGATCCAAGTTCTTGTGGAAATGGAAACCCCACAAATCACCACAACCAACTTCCGCATAGAGACCATCACCAGCCACCAGCCACCAACCACAATTTCAATCCCCACTATTGATTTGACAAAATATTGAATAGCAGAATACGCAATTATAAAAATGGAAGGAAAGAGGCTTGACAATTTTTAACACAGTTCCTCGAAGTTACCTATTATGGTTTAGCCTTAAATCACATTATTGGTAGACTGGCCAGACCTCTCTCTCTCTCTCTTCCTTCTTAAATAATCAAAATCTGCCACAAGTAACAATGGTTTTAGGCTATAAATGGAAGTAATGGTTTCTCATACCTGCAGTATTAACTTTGATACACAAGAACATTCTGATAATACAAGATGCATTAAACTTTAGATACTATTGCAAGATGTAGAAGTTACAGATTTTTATTCATCGATATGATACATGTATTATCTACAAGCAAAATGCAGGACCCTAACGTTTTTTTCGCTAGAGAACATAGGCTTGAATCAGTGTAACTATTACATAAAGTACAAGAAGAAATTCGGGTGACCAACTGTAATGCGATTACATCTTACTTGAACAAGAAATATGCAGAGAAAATAATAAGGTAGGCACTGTGCTTTAAGATCCAGTAGAATAGTCAGCCATAAAACTAAGTTCAAGATACCTTTGGCAACAGTGTATACATAACCTTGCAATTCACCTTGCTCAGATTGAGGTGCCATTAATCCATAGCTGGGTGACTACAGAGGAAGTACTGTTCCATGTAAGTGTCTGTGATTCACATTTTGCTTCAATTTGATCCATATAAGCATCTGTAGTTATGTCGAACATGTCGATGAAGGTACTATATAATTGACAACAGAAAGCTGTGGTATTCAATTTGCATGACAATGGACATTGCTCTGAATCCATTATTGAAGTTCTGGAGTTTTGGTTCCCAAGACCATGAGAGGTGTACCTTTGACACTAAAGAACCTCTCAAATGAGATATTGCTGACCTGACGATAGGAAAACATGACCTGACGCTGCCATCTAAACAATATTCCGCTTAAATTATTAGACACTCGGAAGAAACCCAACTGCACATTCATGGTGCAAGTGAGCTAATTTTCGGTAATATAAGCTTGTGTCGATTATTTTAAATTTAATTATTATAATAATTCTTAAATTTTAGATCAATTTTTTTGTCAGTCATCTAATGATTATTTCTCAAAATTTGAAATCCGACGGATTTTAAAATATAACAATAAAAAAGGAAATTTTTAAACCAAACATTAACCTTAAATTTACACCAAATCGATCAAGTGGATTACATATACAATTAGATTGTGTGACAATTAGATGGAATTAGATCCTGATTACAATATGATTTATTAAAAGTCAATGAGTGTGGATCAAAAAATAAGATTCGAGTTAGATCAACTACATTTTGATTTAAATCTAATCTATTAACAAAATTTTATACATTATTTACAATTAAAAATTTGAAAAAACATAAAAAAAAAATTATATTTATCTTTTAACATGCTATAATCCCAATATGAAAAATTCTAATTTTTTTTTTATTTCTTTGGGATGTTGGCCCCAAATATTTAGACCTAATTCTGACCATTAAATTAGTAACAAATCCTACTATTCAATAAAGTTTACTATCAAATTAAAACAATAAATTAGTTCTAAATTATTATGAAACTACTAAATTGACTAAATGTAAAATAAATAATACAAAATTTGAAATAGAGAAAATTTTAGAAAATATTATTACTCTTTTTTCCTATTTTTTTACACTTCGCATTCGTCCTGAAAGCCAAGGTTCCTCATATAGACAAAATTGGGCGGAGTTGAATAACTTTTTAACTATCCTATTAAATAAGGTTGATATTCAGTATTATTCATACACATTAATAAATATTATTTATTACTAATTGGTGTTATGCATGATTATTCAGCACCCCTATTTATATATAATTGACATTATTCATGCCTAATAATCATCTACTGCATTTATTTTATTTTTTAAAAGTTTAGTGTATTCGAACTAATTTACACATAACTTAATTAATTATTTTGTTTTTTCTTTCGGAAGGTAAAGTGTATTAAAAAAACAAAAAACAGAAATACAAAGGGTAATCACCCACATATTGTACAATGACGTCACATAGGGCACAAAGACAAACATCAAAAAACCAAAAACGTTAAGACATAAATCACAATTCTGTAAGAGATACCCTGGTTAAGAGTATCTCCCACAGAATTGTTAACACGAGTAAATTGGTGCACATAAGCAGAGCATGACAGCAAGCCAACAACCATGACGGCCAACATAGAACAAAGCAAATCAGCCCAACAAAAACAGCACCAAGAAGCCATTTGCACCAATAAAATCAGCACCAACAAATTAGCACAACACACCACAGCAAGCCAGCAACCATAACGGCCAGCAAAGACAGCACCAGAAAGCCATTAGCCCCAAAAATCAGCACTAGCATGTCATTTGCAGAGCAGAACAACCCAGCACTATCCAGCAAATCAGCCCAACAAAAAAAGCACCAGCAAGCCATTCGCACCAATAAAATGGTACCAACATGTCGTTTGCAAAGCATAACAACCCAGCACTACCCAACAACAACAAATATGAAGAAGACAGCCCCAACAAGCAGGTAAGCCAGAAAAAACGTACAGTAGTGAGGCTGAAGAGACAGCACAGCCAAAAGGCTTCCCCCCCAACCTCATCCCAGGGCAGAAGCAAAACATAGAAACACTTAGACCAGGCAACAAAGGAGAGAAGCAGCTTTGCATCCACCACGTGGGTGATTAAAGGAATAGATGGAGTACCAGATATGAAATAATCGCATGTTCAACTGAGAGGTTTTGAACTTGGTCGAAGACATTCTGTCCCTAATTGTCTGCACAATGAT